GAGATTTCGTTTCCATTTCTGCGAGATTACTTTTTCGACACGGGATCTAATTTATTCATGAATTGTAGCGATTATGTAGGTTGCCGTATCTCCGCTGATGGGGTGGATAATCCCGTGGATATATGGGTAGGTTATACGGTTCTACTTACTGACGGTCTCTCGGGCGTGCGGCAAGTTAGGTCACCGGTTCGTATCTGTTCTGTATGGAATCTATGGATGGCGTCCATTGAAGACAATAATTTTGATGAAAACAAAAAAGCAAAATGTACTCATGATGAACACTATACCAATGCAAATAGATATTCAGCACGTGGATGCAGGCTGTTAAATACAATTAGTGAAACATATAATGAACTTGTGAAACATATAATGTTCTTTCATGAAACTGTTCTCCAACTCTTGACTCATTGGAATTTTACTCCCGTGTGACGTTAGCGCTGGGTCAAAGTTCGTCGGAAGTCGGTACCGCCCCCCGTCCCGGTTGAGCGAAGGTTGGTATATATGCCCTGATGTAAATGCTTATATTTTGGGAGAGGAAGCCATTTACATCAGGGCATACCAACTTTCGCTTAACCGGGACAGGGGGCGGTACCGACTTCCGACGAACTTTGACCCAGCGCTGACGTCACAAGTATGTAAAAGTCACGCGTCTACAGCACGGGTCAATTCTCGTGAGTTGGAGAACAGTTTAATTCTCATTATGTATTTTACCAACTCAGATGAACGTTCATGCTAACTAGTACAATAATACTTTGTTGAATCCTCTTCATAAAATTTTCCGATGTTGACGACTTCCTTGATTATTTTCAGTGCCTTCTTTTCAAGACGCAAGAGCATTTTCAGTACTCTTCTTGGTCTTTGATGTTTATTTACAAAAAAAACTTCGTATTAGATACACTCAACATTGGAAACAAATGACTACACGCGCTCATGACCGTTACAGTAGTTTCATTTGCATCTTGGCGAACTTTTTACTTTCCTCGGTTTGTGACCCGCATTAGTTTTGTTGGGATGGGTCCAGTTTTACCTCCCCACACCCATATGGCGTTAGAGTCCCGTGGTATTTCTTTTACCACCGGAGCGGGCTGCAATAGCTCCCGGCTTCAACCAGGCTGCACTAAATATTGATTTTTGTCGGGCTATTTCCGGAGACCCGTGATTTTTCCCGGCATTGATACCAATCTCTGCCCGACTCCCTTTGATTTTCTCCTTTGCAGAGAGGTAAGCACCATGTAAGAGCTTTCTGAACAGCTTGATTGACTCACTTGGTGCTATTCAGGACTGTGAAATGTTGCCTGGCATTATAAGTGAGAGAAATCACAGGTAAGAACTCGTATATATTTACGGATTTGTAAAGGAAGCGTAAAGATATGACATACTGTATATTTACGTTGTATTTAAGCGCACAGAAAGGTGACAGAAAAGCTAAATGTTTCCTTTCAGTGGCCTTTACGAAGTCTTAAAGTCAACTTAAATATTTTCCAACCTTATAATACTTCTTTTCATACTGCGGAATGTTTCTTAAATGTCTGTTTTCGTGCTGTATCACAGTGAGGGGTGAACCCAAGCTTTACTTTCAAAGTAGCGCCTTATGTTTATGTCTAGGATCTAAGTTGAATTTGATTAGAATTGACCAAGAGAAACCATATCAAGTTTCTATCTTTGTTTTCTATGACGCACAAGGTTTTATACAACTAAGAAATAGATGGCCTAGTTCGGAGCATCACGGGGTTTTAGCGCATGACACTCGAACCAGGAAAATCTATCAATCATTTGGCAACCGCGCGGCCTCCCTCGGAGATATCATTTTCAGAGGCCGGAAGTTAGGTCAATGTTTCGTGCACCCCTGTCTGAAGAGAAGACCCCCAGGATGTACCTTATTATGTGGCAATTTGCTCCTGACGGTCCCCATCAATCATCCCGTAACTAAGGTGACCCCCGAACGCGCGACACCCCCTGGAGGCCAAACGTCATACTGCAGTTCCCGTCCCACTTACACCCACCAGTGTTACATAATGACTCGTACGTACCCTATTTGTTACGTGGGCGGAATGCGGCCTTTATACAACATCAAGAGAAACCATCCATCTACCGGAGCTACCGGCGACCATTTTATGCTAACGTGGAAGTTCTGTCAGGGGAGATGTATTGTTTGGGGTGGCACCGTCTAGCCTACTGTCTTTGAAGTCTGGTTGTCTGACGACTTCGGGCCATTCGATTTAGAAATTCAAAAGAGGGCGACAGGGAGCATATTTTTCAATTTGTACCTGTGTAAAAAAAGTGTTTGTAGTAGATCATCACCTGCATAACTATTGAGATACAACACGTGCTGCCTAGAACGTAGCGTTGGTGTGGAGCGTGAATGCACCCTCCACTTACTAGTACTTTCACGTCCCTCTGAGGAAAACAGTAACGACTTGAAAGGAAACACCGACTTTCCTTTGTAGTAAAGTATATCACTTCTTGAGCCTCGACAAATGTCTATCTAGTTGCATATTTTCTAGCTACTATTGCAAATACAATCCAAGAGAATGTCGTAGAACAAATGATTGAATCGCCTTAACTTGTCCATGTCACCATCATCATGGACCGATCTGAAGAAAATATTTCTGTTTGGAAAATGACAGTTACTGCGTTCACATCATCCGCCCTATATGAATACATTGGACGGGTTGACTTAACCGTTGACATTCGTACGACAGAAAGCATCCATCTTACATCAGTACAGTCACCCCTTGGGATTTTTTTGTTTTCCCTCTGTGGATCCACGGGCGACATCCGCAGAATCCACGTGTCAAGGCGGGCCGGCGATTCTGAGGCGGAAAAGCAGACCATCAATAATAAGTGCCCGGAGTTGGTCCCAGGGGGCAGGGGGAGGTAATGGGGGCCAATTAGTCGTCCTGAACCACACCAAATGTTGGGGGCACACCGTGATATAAATCTAGTTATTGTACGCGGACAGAATATTTCATTATTGGCAGCAATATGGGTGGTCCACCATGAACACTGGCGAATATATCACCAATGATTGGAAAATGTTCACATTTAATCAAGATTTGATGAAGATTTGGTAGTGGTAAGGTAAGGATCATGGTCAGTTTGAAATTAGCTGGCCCTTTATCAGTCAACGATATAATTCCACATTTCACAATGCATGGATGATTGTTGACTATGGTGCGTTGCCGTTGGTCTTCAGTGATCGCCTGACCAATGACTGCAAAAATGTTCTTCAAGATTTGATGAATATTTGGTAAGGTAACGATTAGAGTTAGTTTAAAATTATGTGACCCTTTGTCATTCAACGACATTATTTCATATTTTACATTGCATGGATGATTGCTGAGTATTGTACGTTGCCGTTGGTCTTGATTGCCTGACCAATGACTACAAAGATGCTCTTCGATTAGATGTGGTAGTGGACAATAGAGGAAGCAGGGTAAGGATAAGGGTCAGGTTAGCAGGTTATCCGTCAATCAAAGATACAGCTTCATATTTCACAATACAAGGATGGTTATCGAGCGCTATGCGATGTGCTGGTCCTTTCAAGAATCTGCACAGCACAGTTAAATTACATGTGTCCGCCTCATACACCACAAGACTCAGCAGTTTCTTCGTGTAGCTGGGATTCGACCTGCCTTTCTTGTCACATCAAAAGCCTTTGGGTTTAATATCGCCCATTTTGCCTGAATAATGCGCCAATTTATGTCACATCGGGACAATATATCGCAAATCAGGTGCTCGCCGGAGCGCCGCTCACCACAAATCGATAGACAATTTTATTACCAGGCCGTGTGACGTCTGGACCAGTTGAGCATTTTTGACTCGGCCTCATCCTTATTGATTCACCAGATTTGGTGTGGAGTTGCCGCTAACCGGCTCAGGGACCATTGCAGATCATTCGTTTGACATACAGAAAGAAATCAGTACTTTTCTCTAATGAAACATGCATATGTAAATGTGCGCCATTGCCGCCTCTCATCATCCCAGCAACATTACGCTAAGGGACTATACCTTTTTCAAAGTAGATTATAAAAAAATGTTCAGACAGTTGAACAGTACCGAGATCCACACATCAGTGTTATAGAATGATCCCTTACATACAGACCACAGCTGGTGACCTAGACTCCCAGTTCAGGAACAACGGATAAAAAGATCTAAAATTCGATAACGACCGAATGAGGAAGAGCACGGATCTGTTACCGCGATTTTGAATAGATAACAGTTGGGTGTCTGGTGTCTCATCTGCGCCCATTCGCCCAATCAGGCGTTTTCTTACGGCGCTACGCTTCCCGGTTATACCTGCTCTCATGCGGAAGTGACTTTATTACCCTGTAGTTTTGCAGAGGGACGAGTAATTATGGAAATCCCGCGGCGTAAGGTTGTATTCTCCGCCGCAGCTTACCTACAGAACCCTCCGGTGGTAGGGCGGGCCGTCTCGCTGATGTGACGATGATGCATGGCGTAAGGCGATTTCAAACACGCCGGGATGCTTTAATCCCTTACAGGGCTTAAGCTGACACAGCCGAAATGCATCGACTACTCGAGGTAGAAGCACATTTGAAACTGTAAATGTTCTGGTGTACGTGTAATAAAAAGAGGCGTCCCGTCACAGTAATGGTTTAAAAAATGCTGAATGGAATCCAACGATATGCAACTGACTTCACATCAAACAGCAGTGATACAAATTTTCCCCAGAAGCCGTGATACCGTTCTGAAGTCGGTTTATGTCAGAGCACACGGCAGTCGCAGTGAATTGAGATTGACCACTGAAGAAGGCGCCGTTGTCAGCCCGACTGTTCATTTGTTGGACGACAGAATTTCAAACCGATGCTGTAACGCTGTCTGCTGTTCGAAAGCGCGCTTGGTTTCTGCATGCGTCTATGTCCTCTGGGCTCATCACCAAATCAATATGTACCATTGCTATCTGTTCCTTTATTGCAATTTAAAGCAATCGCATTTATTCGTCTAGCGTTATGCAATAGCAAAGATAATGCGATCTACGGTAGTCACCGGAGCTCCCAATCATGTAGCACGCTGCCCTCCCATCATCTGTTCCAGTCGTACCTGAACCTCGCGGGCATTGCCGTGCTGGTGCTGACACCAACAGCCGGCGGAGACGGGGGGAAGGCGGCCCGGAACCACAACCATGAGGATCCGGCACGTCACTCTCCTGGTGGCCGCGGTGTTCCTGGGCGGCATCAGTGTCACCTACGTCCTCCTGGGTAAGGCCAAGTATTCATTACTTTGGTAACGTTTTGCCTCCGGCAGTAGGAGTTCTTGAATTGAACAATGGTTCTCACATAGCGTATGTACGTTTGTAGCAAAGGGATCATGATATGTTCGTCCTTTCGTATCAGGTTAAGGTTAAGTACAGATCAGTGTGCTGAGATATTCCCACATTGCTTTGTCACGTAGGAAGACGCTACGTACCGGTATGGGTTTTTACCTACGTATAATGTCCTTGGTTTTTACGTATCTGTTTGAATTTGCATTAATCTATTCACTCGTTACATCTTACAGACAACAAGCAGAATGCATTTGCTAGACGCAGGGCTTAGTATGTAATAAACAGACATATTGAAATTATTCTATAATCTTGCTTCAATGTAACGTGACGGTGTACGTGCATCATGTTATAAGCAGTACGGAGTTGCGGTAGTTTGTCACCATGTTTTTAGTATCTTCCCAATCCCCCATCACGAAATTAAGCAAGCAAAACATATTGGACAACCTTGTCACCGGGAGAGAGATCTATGTCGAGTCGTGTTGACAAAATGTGTAGCGAAAATTCAGGAGCATGCGTACATGTATCCGACAAAGGAAACCAATCTAAGGTTAGCACCTCAGCAGTAATGTAGACTGTCAGTTTTCATCAGAGCCATCGATGCGTGCTGGCTGTTCATGCATACATAGTGGAATGTGGAGGGTAGCCCATTACCACACGTCGTCTGTACTACATCACTGCTGTCCTGAAGGGTAGTCATTATATAGAGATTTATAAGCGAGCCTACTAGAAAGATATACAGAAAAAGTTGAAGTAGCACATGAAAAAGATAACAAATAGACAGGTTGATCAACAAAATTGGATCACGCTCCTGTAGACATGTGTGTACTTTTGGGGCAAAGACACAGGAGAGGTTCAGCTTCTAAAGCCATTGAAAAACCATTCCAGTGCAAAGGTTACGACTGTTATGGCGTTTAAATCACTATGTTTCCTCTTACTTTGAAGATAAAAGTATGCAGCAAAAATGTGTGAACACATCTCTCACCGAGAGGATTATATCTAATTCAATTTCCTCTCACGTAAGCGACGAAACTGTCTGACAGCACAAGCACGCACAGTTTAGATATTTCATCTGTTTGTGACGGGGACTTTTTGGCATGGGTAAGACAGAAGATTACCGTGTCCAACGTGTAGGAGGATGTAAATGGCGTGTATTATCTAGTGTGAGAGGAGGTATAGGAGTATTAGGGTTATTGAGGACCTTGGATGCTTCAAACTTTACCACGCTATACATCAGAAGTGTGCTGATTCGATCTCCCAGTGAATGCCTTATAAACTTAACGTAATTCTATTTTCTAATTTAATAATTCCCACAAATTTTACTCACACCATCGTTTAATGCTTAATGAATCACGCGAGAATTAAGATTAGTTATGTATTGGGCAATTGAGTCGGCAGAAAAGTAAGACCAATTTCAATTCAAACTTAGATTACCCAAAATATATACTACGTACGTACCGGATCCTTTTGAAAAAAGTATCTTTGACATCTTCATTCTCTTTTGGTGTCTATTTTTTCGCCTGACCTGTTATCTCTGCCCACACCGTGCCTGCGGTGTAACGCTCTCTAACACCATTAGCTTTTAGTGCCTTGATGCCAGAAGGTGATACACCAGCTTACAGCACTGGAATGTAAGGAAAGGCGTTATCTACTGCCGGATACACCATTTCTACAACTGTCTCTTGAACGCAAAACCGAGGGTGGCTTGGGTAAATGGATTAGATGATTTTGGAGTACGTACGCTGGTTAGACATCCAGGTAAACAATATATACTCATAGAAAATGCAAACTCTACTACTAGGTTAGGCGACATGGAACAGTTTGCCATCAGTTAGCTGTAGTAGAATTGGTAGTTGTTATTCCTATTGTTATTTGGGTAGAGTTTTGAAAAGCAGTCAAGACAGCAACTTTAGAGTACAAGCAAGTAAAGTCATGCGGAAAACGGATAACTGTGCAAATGCCAAAGCTATGTTGATAATATTCCTTATTTGCTACGATAACACAATTGACAATGACCTAATAGGTTGTAAAAGGAATAAGGTTGTTACAACTGAAACTGTTCAGTCTCTCGAGCTCGATTGTAAAGGATTTTAGTGAGGTCAAATCTATAACACAACCACAAGTCCATGTTTTATATTTAGTACGTTGCGACTCTCAAACTCCTATAATGTATAAATATTAATGCAAAAGACACCACACGCTTCGTAAAATGACATCGATCTCAGTTTGACGATTGCATACGTTGTAAAATGAATGGCCATTCAATAAATGATCAAAACGGCAAATACAATGGTGTCCTACCACTGATGAGAACTATTACTGACGCGTATTACACACAGGTACACAACAACTAATGACATGGTCTCGGTTATACTGACGATTCAGCTTATTCACAGGTATACGGTATCGGCCTTGGAGTCAAAAGGGTTACTGGCATCACATCAAAAGGTCTCAAGTTAATCAATACTCAATTTCCAGCCAGGGACATAACCGCCCAAAGCGATGGGAGTGGAAGTCGTTAGAAGTTGGCACATCTTCAGAGTGGGACTTGTTTCCGATTGGGAAATCAATCTGACGGCGGAAATACGTCTAACGACAATCACAGGGGATGACTCATGTGGAGGAAGACGAGACAAAACATTGGTGTCAGCGATTTCAGAGACTATTGTAGAACCTTTGGTAGGTGACAGAATTAAAGAGATTGAATTCTACTGTATGTCAGGACTGGTGATATTTACAAATCATTATCAAAATGGACAGGTGTAGATATGTAAATATGCGTCCATTCAAGTTTGACGAGAAAGAGTTTGGAAGTTGAACACACCCCTACCAGTCGATTGGCCTCCATACTGTAATACTTGCAGAGCTGTGTGGCCCAAGGTCTATAGAAAAAGGAATAGGATCCGCCCTTTACATCTTATGGGGGATGACATTAACTAACTTAAATTGACTTTAAATGACTTAAACTAACTGTAGGAAGTTTGGTTCCGCATCGATAGAAGTTTGCTACAATCAGTCGCCACAGGCGCTGACGTTCTAATTGCTGCCAGTTCAGCTGGAGCGAACCATCGATCGTAGACTCAGCAGTTTGTATTCCTCTGAACTTCTTTCTCACACAAGTTACGGATTAAACCGGAGGGGGGCTTAAAGGATCACAATCCTTTAATAAAAGTTCATACCCGGTGTATTGTCGTCATCATGAAAAAATTGTAACTCTGATCACAATTACCTTGTGCAATACCATGTCATTTCAACATTGTCATTGTAATGTAGGTGATGTTTAATAGAATTTATAAAAACGCACTTTTAACTACACATTTTGTAATTTGGCACAGTTTGAATGTTTTCTCATGCATTGTACACTTCTATCGCAGACATCGAACTTAATACAAAAGCTAGTACACTTAGCAGGAGTAGGAATATATCAACACAACCTACACACTGTGAGGTCTCTTACGGACGGGCCATTTCTAAGCATCGTGCGCTGTGAACAACTCGTTTGTTATCTCTTGACCCGTGTGTAGTTGATAACTTGCTGACTACCTAATTGGGAAGAGATACGTAATAAAAAGTAATTTCCTTCAAAAAATCGTGACCACCAACTGACAGTCCGGTGAAATATTTCCCTTCGTGGAAATCTCACGAGCATCGTAAAAATGATGAAAGGGTGCCTCTTTGCAACCATTGCAGGATTTGATGGTCTAACGTGTAGCTTGTATCTATAAAACATTGAGTATATAAAGATAGTCTGTCTTTGAAAAGCCATTATGGTAGTTTATGCTGCGTACCGCGCTAGCGCTATTGTCGCTGTTTCACCTTGTAGTCACCTTGCTGTCCTGTTTAATCAAATATGTCAATGTGTTCTATGTTCTCTGTTTGCGCTGGAAACACATAGACTCCGGATCCTATCAAGCCTGCTGAGAGTCAAGTCTTACGTCCCTGAACGTTAACATCCATGCCTGCTTTGCCCAGTACTAATGCTGACATGCTCCAGACATCGGTGATAATTAGAATCAATTCGCATACGAAACAGAAATGAGGATTTCGGCCGTCAATCAGTTTATTTCTTTAGCCTTTTCATCACAGAATGGAGGGGGAAACGGTGATTGCTCACCTCTTCTCATTGTCTCCCTCGAAATTGGGGATTTCCATTAATTAGAGCATAGACATATGTTGAAAATCATGGAAACGGTTGGTTAGAAGCAGAATAATGCACAGCGACAATTTGTGGCTCTATAGTATACCTACCCAAGGACGATGGTCGGATGATTCGATACAAAAGCACGGTGATCAATGCCTCATCGCGAGCCATTTCGGAAAAGGTTAAATCTCCTTTGGCTACATCTGGGTAGATTGTAGTAAAATTTCATGGCCTTCGAATGCTTTTTTCGAGATTGCCTTTCTCAGGAGAACAGTTAAGAGCAATATCTTTATTCCATCCCAAAGGGACGGCTCTCACGGCGTAACATATAACGGTATAACGGATGTTATCAGCCTGTGCTGAACCCGGATCTTCCGTCCGGTCCCTCCATTTGTACCCTGACAGATATGCAGTTTGAAACACTGCCGGGGCTTAATTGATTTCCTCTCGGCCGTTACTCACGCACTGGTCGGTTGCACAGATTCGTGATGTTCTGGCCATTTGTCTGCGGGCACTTTCACCAGGCCAGGTATCATGTGTGTACTCATAAAGCAAAACAATACTTAAAAATTTATTAATCAGTATGTAGCTATATTACACATCTCTGATACGTAAATCGTCAGGCATTAGCAACATTAGTTCCTATTTTATATGCCTCTCTAGTTCGAAAACGATGTTTATTTTCATCATAATGCTTAAGAGAAAAATAACTTAACAAGGTTTGAAAACAACGTCTATCTTATTGGATTAGATTATCCACTTCATTTAATCCAATTTGAGCAGATGTAATCAATTCAAAGATGATTGATTTAATAATGTTCATTTGCCCTGCTCTGTATACGATTTCCTTTTGATTGTGGTTCGCTTCGCCGCATGTGAATACGATTTCTTCTGAAGTGCCTTTGTGATGATTAGATTTATACCATCAAGTGCATCTAAAGGTTTATGTTCTTAGTTCTACACGGCGATGCCATTCAACCATAGAGATGTAATCAAATGCTAGACTGGCCAATGTAGAGCGGACGAGAGAGTTTAATTGTGTTTGCCTACGCGGAATTAAAGCAGTGAAAGTTCTGACAATCGTGCCATCAATCACGGAGGTACGTCTGAATACCGATGGAGAAGTTTGGAGATCAAAGTACGATCCCCGGTACAGGCCCATGCGTCTTCCCCCGCCACTTTTCAGCGCATCCCGTCTACTTTGAAGTTGATGAATTGTGTCCAGCGGAATGCGTTGACGCTGATGCAAACTCAAATGGACTTTTTCTATTACCGCATGCATCTTAAATAATTGCCTGTCTTTCTCGATCGCCCATGCTATTTGTCTTTAGAAGTCTCGTCGACAGAAACAAAAGATAAAACAAGCTTTAAAAGCATCGAAGTCATTTAGTTTCCCGGAAATATGATAACCTTATAATTTAGTTTCCCGGATATTGAAATAACCTTATATCTCTTAAGAAGTATTTCTTTTCTATAATATATCACTTGAAGTATATTATATATCATCAAGTGTCAATACAATGTCGACTTTGACGACTTTGTCAGAGTACATGTGCTTTCTATACTTCTTGTTTCTTACGTTGTAACCTTCAGAGTATTGGTATACACATGTAGCTACGTATGAGACATTTCAAAATGAAATGAAACCAAAATCGTGCTAGACAACATTTCCTTGATTCTTAACTTCTGAAATCATCCCAATTTGTCATTTGCTGTTTTCGAATACAGCAACAAGTTGTCCAAATCACCCAACTGTCAAAGAGTATTGGGGGCATCTGATGATTGTAACTCAATGACACAAACTGCATTGTTTCGAAATGACACTCTTAGCCAAATCAAGTTGATTTTGAAATTCTATATCTTGGAAACGCTGTACATGTTAGAAGTTACAGACAGAATTTCTACTGCCTACGCATACAAATGAATTTAATTGTTATTGCAAAACCGTACGATATATTGAAGGAAATACACCCCCCCAAACAACAGATGCATCAATGTCATGACAAAGATATTTGCAATTTGTTTTTGCGTCTACAAGACACTTACATGGAATTCCAAATAGAGCTCCAATTAACGATGAGTCACAGTAATGCTAATAGAACAATTAGAAACAACTCCTCCATTGCAAGATAGATTGAACACATTTCCCGAAGCACGGAAGTACAGTTTGGAGCGAGCATTACCACGTAACAAATTCGCTGTCTTCTTTATTGTGAAGCGTGAAAAATATCTATCATCATTCCCGACAGCGTCTCGACAATTATAGCGCGCGCATGGCTCGCTTTTATTACTCATACTTTATACAAACAATAAAATGAATCAAAATCACACAAAAGGGAATAATATAAAGGCCCGCGGGAAACGGTATCTAAATTGCGAACATTACTCTTTATTATTGCCTATCTAGAAGCCCATCAAAACAATTGCGGGTAATAAATGGATTGTTTTCATTATTGTGTATAGATCATTGTTGTTTACGACTTTTCGTTTGTTTTCGTCTTTAGCGTTGTAATATTCAGCCGTTTTATTGTCGTTTACCAAATTCTATGCGAAGCTATGAAATAATAATAATAAAATATTCATTTAGGGCGAGTCCATCGTAAAAATATTATCATTAGCAAGAACAGAAATGTTTACCTTAAAACGTAGGATTTATGTTATCCAAAATTATAGTATTCCCTTCATTTAGCAGGTCCACAGAAAGACAGAGAGCACTTAACTTCAGACTGACAAGCAAAGATAGAGCATATATATGTATTTCATTTGTGAAAATATGATTTGTTATAGATATTTGTCCCTATCCAGCAATTACCCACAGGAAAAACATTGAGATTGTTTGATAATGACAGGCATTTGGGCCATACCTCAGGCATTCTCCACTGAAGGCAATTGCGCGATTTATAAAGCAATTGTGGACGTTATGCCTGCACATTCGGGAGCATTAATGGCTGGAAACGTACCACCTGGTGCCATCCATATCGCGTTGGAATGTACGGAAGAACATCATGCGACTCGGGCTGACATATTTCCACTCAGTGGTGTGTCTGTAGGGATGTGCACAGTTATTGCCGTGCTCGCAAGAAGGACTTCACTACACTCCCTGTCAATCGATCACTTCTACTCTTTGTAGATGTTGCCTGCCTAGTGTTAAGACAATATCCATCTATTAAACTTAAAAATTTTGTTAGTAGAATATTCATCAATTAGTGACTGTTTTGAAAGGTAGTGAACACGTACCTACAAATTTTCGACTCCACTGTACGATTTGTCTTTTGATCACGGAGTGACCTAGTCTCGCGAGAACACGAGTCTAGATCGAGACTTGTGTAGCTCTTCTGGAGCTAGATGTTCGCTACCTTTCAAAACAGTCACCGATTGATGAATATTCTACTAACTGTTACTCTTACGTGACTGATGAACGTCTTCAACGATAAAATGCTGTTGTTCCTAATCCGTCACCTGTCTAACATACTGTGTTTCTACTTTCTGCATGCACGAACACGCAGAGCTGGAGTTGTCGAGAACGCCACTTCAACACCTTCAAATGGAAGGTTTGTTGGTTGATTATTGTTTTATTGTTTATATAATTGTTTTTGAAATAATGATTATATTTGTTTTCATTTTTGTTTATAAAATAAAGAGCTTGTCTTTGAGCTTGTCTCAACTGCTGCTTTTCCTTCATTGACCACGAAACTGAAACTAGCGTATCTGAATCGATCTAACAGCATCTTCTTGTCTTCTTCCAGCATCCCCCATCCATCAACGTCCGCTCCTCTGCTCGTCCAATAAACGCTCAATTTGGCCTGTCAATCAAACTAAGCATGTACTGCTTGTGGGCGGAGCCAGCTTCATGGGATATCACCTCACTCTACAGCTGCTGGAGTCCAGGAACTACGTCACTGTTGTGGACGACGCTGACTCGACGTTAGATCAGACTCTGAAAAGGGAACGCCTAAGACACCTTGAAGATATCTCAGATCAAAAATTAAGAATCATAAGAAACAGTACCTGCAGTCACAAATCCTTAGAGGAGTTGTTTAAGACTGCTAGCTTTTCAATCACTCATGTGGTCTTCTTTTCTCCGTTGGACTGTCACAATGACATTTCGTCTCCCAACCCTTCCAGTCACGTACACGCGGCCTTAGTGTGCTTCACAATGTTGCTCGGGCTCCTAAAGGATTCCCCGAGCGTAAACCTCCTTGTGATCTGGAGCAAGAACTACCCTTTTCACGTATTCAATGAACCTGGCGGGAGGCTCTCAATGAGGTGGTTATCGCTTGACTCGGTTCTGGTTGAAGGTCTGAAGGCGGCCGCCATTATTTACCATAACATCTATGGGCACAGCATCACTGGACTGGAGTTATCGGAGGTTTATGGGCCTTCCGGGGACGGGTCTTGCTCCGTCATACACAGAACAGTCATTGATAGATTACTGCACCGTCTGAAGTGTCGTCCGATAGTCGTTGCTAAGCAACACAGAACGGGGAACCCGTCAGAAGTGCGCGACTTCCTGCACGTGACCGATGCTGCTAGAGGCATGG